TCTTTTCAAAACATGATTATGATAAACTTTTCACCAAGAAATTCTTTATTCCTTGTTTTCATACCTCAAGTATTGAAAACTATTAGATAAAGTGTGAAAATCAACCTTTTCTCCCCCAAAGTCAGACTGTAAATGACTTACCTGAGGAACTAGACTGACGTGGATATTACAAAAGTTCTCCCTTTTGACCTTGAACTGGAACTGCCGGAAGGCCTCAATGAAAGGCATGCTTTCAATATCTCCCACAGTTCCTCCAAGCTAGAAGAGCAATGTTATTTTAAAGGTTGAGCACTCAATCTTTTTCTGGTGGTTTTCTTTTCTAACTTCTGCTGTTGCCTCAATTCAGTTACCAATGTAATAAGGACATCCCAGCCCTGCAGAATGTCAGTTGGTAGAAAGGGGACCCTTCTGGGTAGGCTCACAATTCCCCAAGGCTATTATAGATATTTCCACAGCATTTTAAGAAAAAGAAGAGGTGAGAGAGGTACCAGGAATTTTATTTGGGTGAGAGCCACAAAGCAAAAAAACCTAATCTCATCTCCTTAGCTAATTATAGATGACTTTTACAAAAAGTCATCAGTTATATTAAAAAACTGCTGGAACTTTCAAGTCTCTTCATCTTGAAGGAACACTGAGATCCAACAGCTGGGATCAGCAGACAAAGCACCCGGAAACCAAAACCACACACTCATTCGAATGAGTACTCCTGCTGCAGGGAAGCAAAGGTCTGCCAGCTTGCTCAGGAGAGGGAAATGTGTCACACCACTCTTTCTGGAAGAGGTGACATCAAGTGAATCCATAATTCTACAAAAGTAGTATCACTTGGATAAGAATTTTCTCCCACACTATGACTGTCCTCACCAGCCCCACGGCAGCATCTTGCCCTGACTGCACTGGGAACGTCTTGCCAGGTGCCAATGGCTAACTAGGAGATGAATGAGTGCTCTGTTCACAAACACGGGGACCATACAAACCTCGATAACACACACTTGAGGTTCTAGGCCATCTTCATCTACAGGTATTAATGCCTGTCTCATCACCCACTCCTGGATTGCATCTGTGATGTGAGGGACAACTGGAAAGAAAAAACAAGCTGGAACTCATGCTTGTCCATAGGCATTGACTGAAGCAAACGCATTTACCTCAAATACTAAAAAAATAATTTTAAAAACTACTACACTTTTTGCCTGGACATAGTAGTGGTGGTTTCATAAAAATACTTTTGAGGCCTTCTTTCAATGGCCTCAATAATCTCTGGTTCAAACTCCCCTTGGCCACCTCCTCAGATTTATAAGTTGTTGCTGGAAGCACACAAGAGGAGTCCAAGAATGGTATCCTGAACCACCTCAGAGCATCAGCCCATGCAGTCAGCCTGTCTGTCCACATGCAAACACAACAGGCCATGTGGTCACTCTACTGCTCACAGCCAAGACTGAAGGTGGGCACATCACACCTGAGTGCTTTTCCAGGCATAGGAGACCTGCAGGAGCCGTGCACATTATGCTTCCAGCTTACTGAAGGGTAGACAACCTGCTGCAGAGACATGACAGCAGAGCAGAGTGGTGAGGGGAGCAGCCTCTGTGGTCTGGGTTGACATCTCAGTTCGCCACTCATTAGCTGTGATTCACAGGGCCAATTACTTATCTATTCTTAAACTTGGTTTCCTCTGTCAAGTGGAGGTAAAGCTCCTACTTCATAAAGTTGTGGAAATTTTACGAGATGGCCTTGTATGCCAGAGTACAGTAAATGCCAGCTACTGCTGAACACTTTCAAAATCATAGTTGTTGGGCTCACTGTGCAAATTCCTACGGAGCAAAGATTATTGTTTAACTCCAGATTCTGTTCAACTCCAGTAAACACACACAAGGATATTCATTATCTATTCTACACACAGTGGCCAAAGTGATGTTTTGAAAATGCAAATCAGAATTCATCACTCCCATGTTTAAACTCTTCGGTTCTTCCCACTGCTGAGTCAATTCCAACTCCTTGCCTGGCCCAGAA